TTGATGTGGAAGTCCCAGGTGTCTCTTCTACCGAGGGCTAAGATTGCGGAAATGCAGCGAAGATGGAAGGCGGACAGCGCCGCAAGCTCGCTTTTCAGTGGTACCCAACACTCCGCTCCGTAAAGGAGAAGAGAAGCCACACATGCATCATACACCATTCGCTTCGTTGCCAGTGAAAGATCGCCATCATCAAAGACAGATCGACGCAATGCTCCGAATGCCCTAGATGCTGACGCTATTCGGGACCGAGTGTCCACTGCGGTGCGGCCACCAGTATGGATGATGGAGCCTAGGTAGCGAAAGTCATGCACACTCTCGACAATTTCCCCGCCAACCACCAATGGACGACGATCCTCCGGAGAAATGCCGAAGCCGACCGCCATTACTTTGGTTTTGGATAGGTTGATGGTGAGGCCGAAGCGAGTTGCGACGTCCATGAACCGGCTGAGCGCAAGTGTGGCACCATGGTGAGTTGTAGCAATAAGTGCCGAATCGTCTGCGAATTGACAGTCACGATGGATGTTGATTGTGTCAGTCTTCTGGCGTTTGAAAAGGAGAGACGGTCCAGAGTTAGAGGAGACGGGAAGTCCAATCTCAGGTATGTCCGCAACCTCACGCTGCCACAGCTGGAATACTGCCCACATGAATATATTGAACAATACTGGGGCCATACAACAACCTTGTCGAAGGCCATTTTGCACCTCAATAGGCTCGGCCTCGATGCCCGGGATCGACAGGTTTGCAGACATAGAGGTATGAAATGAGCTGATAATGGTAACCAGCTTGTCAGGTACGCCCGCCTTCCGGAGAATTTCCCACATGCACTTACGGGTGACGGAATCATAGGCCTTCCGTAGATCAACAAAAACCATGAAACCAGAGCAGCGATGTTCATATAGTTTCTCAGATATTTGTCTCACCGCGAAGATCATGTCCGCACAAGATCTGCCTTTGCGGAATCCACACTGCGTGTCTGGTAGGATGTCTTCCGCGAGCCGCTGCAATCTTGTCTGGACGAGGCCAGCAACAGCCTTTCCTACCACCTCCAGAAGAGCGATGCCCCTCCAATTGTCACAACTGGATAGATTTCCTTTTTTTGGTATCGGGACAAGCTGGCAGTCCACCCACTCCTGGGGCACCCGCTCTGCATTCCACACTGTCTGGACAAGGTCTAGTAGTGCCATCATGAGGCCATCCCCACCAGCCTTCAGCAGTTCCGGTAAGATTCCAGAGCCTCCTGCTGCTTTTCCGTTCCGTAGTCGGCGCACAGCCTGCCTAAGCTCTTCCAGAGTAGGTGGATCGGCGAGGTCTTCACACACTTCCTGTTGCTCAATGGTGGCAACAGTCGCAGGTTCATACGAGGTTGGAACATTGTAAACCTTGGAGAAGTGACGGTGCCATGTGCGGCCCTGATCCGCCGGTGAATTACAGACATTTCCGTTCTCGTCCCGCACAGCGACTGCAGTTACACCCACAAGCCCTCGCCGAGCCGTCTGCATGGTCTTGATACCGGCCCAAATGCGCGCCGAGTCAAAGCGCCCCTTCTCAGTACGTTGTGCCATGGCAGCAAACCAATCATTCTTCGCAGCTCGGGTGGCAGCGCGAGCCCTCGTGCGCGCAACACGGTAGCGCGAATACTCTTCCTGATTCCGGCCACTAGTGATCCATGTTCGATAGCATGCATTGCGCGCGTCCAGCAGTGGCCGCAGCCCGTCCTGGCTTTCCGTAAACCAATCAGGCTGCCGTCTCCTCTGATGACCGAGAGTGTCCGCAGCTGCCGCCGTCACCACGTCCCGCATCGCATTCCATTTCTCGTCTACCGTTTCCGCGTCCGCCACTGCATCAATCTTGGCATTGATGTTTTCCTGGTAGTCGTCAACCTTCCTCCGGTGGTTTCCCTCAGCATCTGTCGAAACCACTGCGGGCAGATTCCCCACACACACACACACACACACACACACACACACACACACACACACACACACACACACACACACACACACACACACACACACACACAGTGCCGAAGGTAACATGCCTGTAGGCGTTTCATTGGTAAATTCCTCTGTGACCTGAGTTGACACAATACTAAACGCTTCTTTCAGAACTTCAGCCGAAGTGCTTGCGGCAGTCTGGGCATCTCCATTTTTGCTCAGGGTACTTGAAGCTTGTTCGGATGTTCTCTCCTGCGTGCATCCCGCGCCGCATAGGCTATTGCCAGTACTTGGCCAGCATGTTGAATATGGACTTTGCTGACAGCTTTCCACGTTTCACACAGGAATTCCTTGCACTGAATACAGTACCGTGTGCAATGCACTTGCCCACAGTGTGCGTGGTGTGGATAAACTATCCACGATTGCATTCAAAGGACATCAATATCACTGTTTTGGCGAAGAAATCGACAAATTCTCCCCTCGAACCCTACAGAAGGCTCTCTCAACTTGATTTTAACATATGACTGTAATGACTACTGACTTTGTACTCCATGATAGCCGTATACTTTTATGATAAAAAACGTAATGTAGAGGGGACGGCTCGATACCGGGACGCTTTGACAGCCAAATTTGTATAGACCCAAACCGATCATCAGCGTTGATTTTTCACTCGAAATATGTTTGGAGAAGGAAACTGGCATGTTGAAGTTTGCTCTGGGGCCAGAGTCAATCGAACTGAGCCACTCCTTTGTGTTGACCCAGTGCCTCCAAGTTGCCCAATTTTTCGCTTCAAAAAAGTTCAAATCAGAGGTGGCTCCAAACCGGACACGTTTTAGAGTGCACGTCAAATTCACTCTGGGTCTGAAATTAGGTAATTGCTAACGCTCCACGACGGCCAGTACAGAGTAACAATAAGCCTTGTGTGTGCTTCCATTAGTTTTGATTGGTATGCGGTGCTTTATTGGCGAGAGGCGAGCCGCTGTTTACCTGCGACAAGAAGTTGATTTTTCGAAAGTCGTAAAACTCAAGTCGCAGTGCGAAGCAACACGTCAAAAACTCACCTGCTTGATATGGCGCTTCTGGTCATCGCAGAGCCATGAAATTTTGGCTCGGAGTATAACACATCGTAGTCTCACTGTGACATAATATTATGTTTTCTAATCAAAATGCCAAGAGAGAAAGTGAGTGAATAGGAAAGTAAGACAGGCGCTGCTGAGCAATCGACTTGGTACTGAGTCCATGAGAAATTCTAGTTCTTTTCGAGCCTCCTAAGCTGGACTCGGCAAAGGCAGTTCTTTTGGAACGAGCTCTTTCTGTGCTGCCGCTCCTTCATCCTGGTCCAAATTTAGCAATGCATCAGTGTCTACTTCAGTATCGCTCGAGATGCTATCGCCAGAGCATCTGGCACAACTAGAAAACTCTTCTTTGTCTGTTTGATATTCACTTCGCGAATGTCTCCTCCATAGCTCTCCATTATTCTAAAAGTAAAAGAAACCTCGTAAATAATTCCTCCGGATTTGTGTCACTTGAGCTGCCTCGGCCTCAGTTGGGCATGCTTCACAAATGGCTTGTATACATTTACCCGACCACATCGGTACAATCATAACGTTTTTATGTAGCAATAGTTATGTAGCGTTAGTGCTAAAGGTGTTATAACTTATAACGTTACGTGTCTGTACCCAATCACAAAGTCATGCGCCGGAAAAATGCATAGTGCTCAAATGCCCGGAATGGGCTGAGCGCAGTAGTCTACGCAAGAGGAACACAAAATGAGTAAAATAGGGCTGTTTCGTTGTTACTCAGAGTTTCATGGCAAAAACCAATCATCAGACAACACCTCATGATCATGATTGTAGCCGCTTGTTGCCAAAAACCTGGTATTTCCCGATATTATCCACTATGAAACTCGTTATGCCGCTCGAACCTCACATAATGCTCGATTTGTTCCTTTCTAATGCTCCATAATGCTCTGATGCTCGGATAGTCGTATAATGGCGAATATAATGCCGGCATTATCCGCTGGACCCTACTCCTTATAGGTTATTGAATTACACAAGAGAAGTAATATTTCCACTGAAACTCGCCCAAAGGGTGCACAGTCAACCAAAGTGCCAGTAACTTCGGTGTCCGGATAACCGAGGTATGAGGGTACATGTATGGTTTCACCGAATCCTGTGAGCATTGAGTACTCTAACGAACCGAATGACTCCACTCTTAGACATGATAACTCAGTATGGGTATGTCCGCATCCAAATGGCGAGTGATAATTGCATGCATGCACACGCTATGCTTGGTGGCACAGGTGCAATAACACAGCATACCAATTGTTGGGTCTTCTGAACCCCATTGCTCATCACTCACATCAAGCCAAGGACGAAGGTTGTGGACGACATTTGTGACGAGGGAAGAGAGAGATAGAGAGAACGAAAGAACGAGAGAGAGAGAGAGAGATATATATGAGAGAGAGATAGAGATAGAGAGAGAGAGAGAGAGAGAGAGAGAGAGAGAGAGAGAGAGAGAGAGAGAGAGAGAGAGAGAGAGAGAGAGAGAGAGAGAGAGAGAGAGAGAGAGAGAGAGAGAGAGAGAGAGAGAGAGAGAGATAAAGAGAGAGAGAGGCAGAGAGAGAGAGAGAGAGAGAGAGAGAGAGAGAGAGAGAGAGAGAGAGAGAGAGAGAGAGAGAGAGAGAGAGTGACAGAGAGAGAGATAGAGAGAGATAGAGATAGATAGAGAGAGAGAGAGAGAGAGAGAGAGAGACATACAGACAGAGAGAGAAAGAGAAAGAGAGAGAGAAAGAGAGAGAGACGGAGAGAGAAAGACAGATAGTTTTAAAATAAAGGGTCTGGCCAGCTACGGCAAATATGGGTACATAAGCAGCTACCCAGGCTAACGGAGCATAAGGTGCTATGCGCGAATGTGGGAAGCTATGTGTACAGGGTACAACCCAGCCGGGGAAAGGATGCGCGCCATTGTGTGTGGAAACAATTATACAGGAGAATAGGACCTTGCACAATTACCAACTCTTGCCATACCAGTTGACACTGTTTCAGTAATGGGTAATATCGAACTTCACTGTGGCAGTACTGTAAGCGAACTGATAGAGGTAGACCACTGGTCACGATGAATGCATCCATAGAATGCAAGAACTCCTTCCTTGCAAAGATGGCTCTCAGCAACCCATTTCTCACCAGGTGCAGATTCCTTTTGGAAGTACAGGATATGCCTCTGGCGATCCGCTGTCACCGTGGCAATCTCTCCCGCCGAGAAGTTCACAGTATAGGGATTCATAACCTCACATTTTTGCTTTTCTAGTGCATTATGTTTGTACTCTAGCGGATCGCAAACACCCACTGAGTTTGTGTAGGCTGACTGGTGAAAACGGAACTTTGCCGTTGCTACTGTTCCAACTTGAATAAACGGCTCGACACACGCACCTCTAGAGGCCTTGTCCTTACAGTAGACAGTGCGATCGTCGTTCGTTAGCACCAGCTGTGGGGGACATTGGCCAAGGCTGAACTTGTAATTCATAGCATTGGAGGTAGCCTGAAAGTCTTCAGGGTCCGCATCAGCTGCTTTTATGCTTGGAATCTTCCGGAAAACCTCGACTGCAGCGTCCAGGCGATTCGACTTGAACATCGGCATTTCAAGACCAGTTAACGGCTGTGTCGTCTCAGAATCCTTGTTCTCTTCAGACATTTTCCCCAGTAACCAAGGATGAAGTCTCAGGAAATCGATGTCTTCAGTGCTGGACTTAATCAAACCATACATTCGTGTAAGGCGTGTCCTCTTCCTTTTCAGCTTCTCGACGCGACGTTCCAACACACTAGACTGCTTCCAGTACTTCGTGTGCGCTTCTCTCAGCAGCTCATCACAGCGCTCTTTCGATAACTTTTCCAACTTCGCGAACGCCTCAGTGATATCAGCAGACAAAGCACGGTACGCTTCGCCAAGCAACTCGGTTGACGCATTGGCTGCTGTTTGAGCAGTGCTGATTATGTTCAGGCGTTTTGTGCCTTGCTCCGATACTTTCTGCTCCAATCCTCTGCGCGCATTACGTGCAGCATCAGCGATGGGCATCACTTGGTCTGAATTCTGAACATGGGCTTTCCTGTGGGTTGCTCTGCACGTTTCACACAGAAATTCCTTGCATTCGGTGCAGTACCATTCGAAACTTGCATTATGATGCAGCGCGCATCTACTAGTTTGAGATATCTGCTCTGATCCGTTGCTGGTGGTTGCTGGGTCTTCACAAATACGCTCAGTTCTGTGACTTTTGGTGGACTTCGACTTGAGGTGGCCCTTGCCATGTAGCGTACAATAGAATATGGAGCAGTCGTGGCATTTGAACGTAGCTGCTTCTTCCTCATCACATTCCTCGCACACAACACGTGCAGATCTGGTGCTGCATGAAGAATCGGCACTAGCAACAGCACTGTTCTCCACTGGAGCTCTGGGCAGCGATTGCATCTGAGATCGCCTAGGACCTGGAGAAGGCGTGATCTCCGCGCAGTTCGGACAATGAATGGTGTTGTCGTCTTTGATATGTGGTTCAACACACAGCGCACACAGTGTATGCAGGCATCGAATCAGCCTACCGTCCCGTGGCGGCTGATCACACGAAGCACACTTCAAACCAGCCATGGCTTGGTCCTCATCCTCCTCTCTTTCAAATTCTGCTGCAGAGGTCGCCATTTGATTATTTGTGCCCTGATCCATACGTTAGGCAGTCTCACTTCTTATACATGTAGTTCGGGACCCGTGTGGAAGACCACAGAAAATCGCTCGGGAAACCAGGTACCCTTACCTACTTCAGAGTACATTAGCCAAGGAAGGGAAGGATCTGCTCGCAACTCAGGCTTCTGCTGTTCTGACTTGCGTGCACCGGAATGAGCAAGGCACCGGGAGATTACATTGTATCGTACGTACTCTTCGCAAGACCAACGAGCGGATACAGAAATCAGATTGCGATGCGGCGGCAGACTAAAGCTGCACCAAGCACATGACAGTAGTAAGGCGGGGTACAGTATGAGTTCTATTCGGAAAATCCGTGCCGTAGTTTACCTGTCTTCTATCTTAGGTCACCATGGTCACGGCATTATGAAAAGAATAATATTATTATTATGTCTGTACGGTACATGTACGTGGCGGAGGGACTGATGCCGTGATGGATTATTATTATTATTATTTCACAATCACGATGACATAGTGCCAATAAGCATGTGATGCGGGCAATTTTAACCAGCCATGGTGAAAAATCGCCTTCTCTATAGTCAGTACCTCATCAGGAGTACCGATTGCGATGGTGTGAAACTTTTTTTTCCGCGACGTCACCTCTCGCATATGCGAAGCCTCTTTTTACGGGCAAAAGAAACACAATGGATGAAAATGCAACGCAAATTTAATGCAAACCCAGAAAACCAGAAAAAGGAAAAATGTAACCCAAAAAGAAAAGGAAAAAAGGAAAGGGTAGATGGTGTGAAACTGCTCCTTGATATTGGTACAGGGGAGAAGCATGGCCGACCCTACACTGCTCTTGCCCCACGGTTTTGTGCTACTTGGAACCGATCGGTCTGTGCCTGCCCTGCCTCTGAGTAGGGCCTGAGCTGAACGCAACGAACCCGTACAGGAGGTGCGGCATGATAGCTGCCTTGGAAAACGGCACCCAGATGGCAAGTGTTCGAGACTTTCGTGTCCGCCAAAGGGTTCCGATTATCTTGTTGGCTTTGGAGATGCTCGCATCGACCTGAGGCTGCCATGACATGCGGGCATCCAAGCTTGTACGTGAATATACTGCTTTGAGATTTTGCACTACACAATGCTCAGGAGGAATAGCTGAGCTAATGATCCATCAAGGATAGATGGTGAAAAACGGCCGGTCGTCCAACACGGGTTTGTATGAATCCCTGGTACAAGCAGGGTACTGAAAGTACCAAAGCGATTTATATTTGTAAGCATTCTTCGTGTTAATTAAGAATAGCAGCAGAGCCAGGAAAACATGGACAGAGTTACATAGTGCAGTCATGTAGTTGATAACACTGACAGTAACTGGATATGATCTGTGTTAGCTGAGGACTAAGTGAGAGGCAGCTTGTTTGTCTTCACAAGATGGCCGCAATTTCAAGCCATCAAACTACAACCATGTATTCACATGTGCCATCACGGGAGCAGTATTGTAAGCTGCACCTGTTGCGGATGATATTTGTCTATTTCCGCTAAGCCATAGAATGCAAGCACACTTTCTTCACAGAGGGCAGTACTTCAGTATCACCAACCCATTTCCCACCTGTGAACACCCTTTGGAAGGACAAGACGTTCTTCCGGTGATTGGCCATTGCGATGATGGTGTCTCCTCCTCCGAACCTTTTCTAACTCCCCACATAAGACACTGCCCTTTTTTAATTCCCCACATAAGACACTGCCCTTTTCTAACTCCCCACATAAGACACTGCCCTTTCTCGACATAAATAATAAGAGTACTCCAGTAGATCGCAAACACCTACTGACAGTTTGTAAGAACTTTTGTCGAATCTGAACCACGCCTTTGTCATTGTTCCAACTTGAATGAAACGTTCGGCGCAGGCACTTTGATAGGAATCTCCGCGTCCCGTCCTGAATGTGCGATCGTTATTCGTTATCACAAGCTGGGGGTTGGCAGATGAATATTATTAATGTGACAGTGAGTGTACGGAGATCACAGTTTCCAACCATGCCCTCTTCTGTGAGCCGCTGCTGTAATGCATCCGGTTGCTTGTGGTTGATTTTGTTTAAGCGGAGGGGCGGCGTATCGTCTTGCACTAAGCAAGGATATTAAACTGACCTATATGCGATGGATAACAATGGAGGGAGTTTAAGTAGCTGATGGAAGGAGCTGTAGTGAACATCATCAAACCGAAGCTGCAAAGGAAAAGACCAAGCTGCACAATGCTGAGCTAATAGATCAGATATTTGTGCCTGCAGCTGATCCTGGACAGTGCCAGAATTCATTTGGAAGCCAAAGATAATACATGTACACAGCATAACTAAAAGACTGAGGTGCAGAGATTGCCAGGTTTCCCGCGCACAAGTACACACACACACACACACACACACACACACACACACACACACACACACACACACACACACTTCTTTCAGAACTTCAGCCGAAGTGCTTGCGGCAGTCTGGGCATCTCCAATTTTGCTCAGGCCGGGTACCTGAAGCTTGTTCAGATGTTCTCTCCGGCGTGCATCCCGCGCAGCACGGGCTATTGTCAGTACAGTACTTGGCCAGCATGTTGAATGTGGACTTTGCTGACAGCTTTGCACGTTTCACACAGGAATTCCTTGCACTGAATACAGTACCGTGTACAATGCACTTGCCCACAGTGTGCGTGGTGTGGATAAACTATCCACGATTGCATTCAAAGGACATCAATATCACTGTTTTGGCGAAGAAATCGACAAATTCTCCCCTCGAACCCTACAGAAGGCTCTCTCGAATTGGTTTTAAAATAATGACTACTGACTTCGTACTCCATGATGGCCGTATACTTTTAATGATAAAAACGTAATGTACATGTGCTATGTCTACTATAATTGTAGTGCCAGAACTGTCCTCTGTGCTCTGTGTTCCCAAATTAAATTGATACGAATTTGTCTTTTCAGGATTTGATTTTCACGATTGAATGAGAGCAGTTTGTGAGTGTAATTATACTTGAGATTGGCCTGTTCACAAATCAATAACGATGAAGATGAAACTGTCTGCAAGAAGCGCCCAAGCGAATTCTAGATTATGACTTTTACAATGTAATGCGGCACATTGCTCTACTTACGGAGCCTTTTTGAATCATGACCTCCGTACTCTACATGTACATTCAGTCCAGAAATCTCAGATTCTCAGTTCTATCCACTTTTGCCGAAGGGTATCCGAAATGCTCAAAGGAGTGAAAACATCAAAGACGAAAGTTGAGTCGCTACTCAATACTGACTATAATGCCATAATCCCTCAAACGAACACAATGATTTTGAGTTATCTTCTTTCTTTCTTCTTTCTTATACATGTATGTCTACTACTTTTCTTTTCCTGATTTGGCCGTGGTTGGCTATCACCCCTCTCTCATTCAATATTGGCATTGCTTGCCACGTGATGATGACGAAATAAATGAATAAATAAATACTGCATGCGTAGGACACACGTACACTTCAGGCTCTTGAACATTTTGAAAGTTTTCACTAGTATACTTTCATGACTTATCATCAGGTGAAATAATTATAGGAAACATCAAAATAAATGGCCATGGAATTGAGCTACAAGAAAATTCGCTGAGCAGCTTTAAGCCTGGTTACTGGGCTGCAGGAGTTGTTCTAGTGCCGTGGCTGTCCTAAAACGAGGCAGCATATCACCGCCGACCGGGTTTGGAAATCGTTCGAATACAGACACTCTCAGGCATCAACACCAATGCAGTACATTGTGTGTTCATGTTCATAAAGGCCCATGGGCCATGGTCAACGAGGAAGATGTGACCAGCCTGACTGCTACCGTTCCGAGCGCCATCCTCATGCTTAATCTTCAACCAACCGAGTAAAGTAAGTAACTTGCAAAGGTAAAAATAATGTTCAAGTTTGTACAAATGTCTGCTGCCCCGTAGCTCCCAGCAACTGCTCGCCTGCACCAGACTAATATTCTATGATTCCCCACAGAATTCTTCTCGCCTGACCCCATATTACATGTATTTATTGTTCAGGCTTCCTGCTTTGGAGCCACCAGGTGCCTGATGATCGTGACGTAACGTGAAACTCGGAGTCGCAACACAGCTTCCTCCCCCCTCTCTTTTTCTCTCTCTCTCTCTCCCTCCCTCTCTCTCTCTCTCTCTCTCTCTCTCTCTCTCTCTCTCTCTCTCTCTCTCTCTCTCTCTCTCTCTCTCTCTCTCTCTCTCTCTCTCTCTCTCTCTTTATCTCTCTCTCTCTTTATCTCTCTCTCTCTCCCTCTCTCCCTTTCTCTGTCTCTCGCTGTCTCTTTCGCTCTCGCTCTCGCTCTCTCTCGCATAAACTATATACTGAACACCTCCTTGTTAAATCATGCACCTGCTTTCAGGCTTAAAGGTCTCAGTCCTCATTTGTTAGACTTACCTGTCTTTATAAATGTAACATACTCTCTCTCTCTCTCTATCTATCTATCTCTCTCCCTTTCTCTCTCCCTCTCCCTCTCCCTCTCTCTCTCCCTCTCTCTCTCTCTCTCTCTCTCTCTCTCTCTCTCTCTCTCTCTCTCACACTCTCTCCCTTTCTCTTTCTCTGTCTGTCTCTCTCGCTCTCGCTCTCTCTCTCTCGCATAAACTATATACTGACCACCTGCTTGTTAAATTATGCACCTGCTTTCAGGCTTAAAGTCTCAGTCCTCATTTGTTAGACTTACCCATATTGATAAGTGTAACATACTCTCTCTTCTATATCTATCTATCTCTCTCCCTTTCTCTCTCGCCCTCCCTCTCTATCTATCTCCCTCTCTCTCTCTGTCTGTCTGTCTGTCTGTCTGTCTCTCTCTCTCGTTCTCTCTCTTGTGTACAAAGGTACACATAGAGAGATGTCCAACTCGAATCTTTTTTTCGGCTTTTAAAGGTGTCATGCCGAGACAATCATCAGACAATTCTATGCAGATTAAAGGTTCAAATAAATCCAGGGAAATGGTAAAGAAGAGATGGGAGAGGAACGGTTGC